ATTGTCCAAATTATCATTTTGAGTTAAAGATCTAAATAATTAATCTTTAAAATTTCTATTTTTTCCCACAAAAATGTAGGCTTTATTAACATAAACAATAATAAACATAATGTGACGCATATTTGTCATACATTAATTAGCAAGAAATAGTTAAGATGCACTCAAAAAGTCATGCCATAGTTATATTATTAACTATTAGCATAGGCTTGATTTTAATTTATATATTAAAAAAATCATATTTTCAAAATTAATTTATTACAATTGTTTAGAATCAATATGAATCTGTTCAGTTAAAAAGTATGAATGGTTAAAATCTGGCTAGATGTGGAATAAGAAATATTAAATTAGTTAAAATGAAACAAATTGGATATATTGATGATAAATATATAAACCTGGTTATTGTGTATTTAGTTTTTGCACATTCAGATTATTAGTACTATTACAGAAATCAAAACCATGTCATGTCAGTGATGCTCAAATAAGTTGTCAGATTTTTTTAGATAAACAATTACATTCAATTTGCCACTGAGTTAAGACATAAATCTATCATATCAGTTAAGTCATCAAATCAACTGCAAAATTCCTGATTATTAAACATGGTAGCGTCTCAGCTGTGTGGCGAATGTAACCGTCCAAATTCTAAATGATTAAAAATGCATGTGGTTACATTTCAAGAGCAGCTTTGGGAACTCAAAGCACTGAGCAACACTTGAAACCAAAGAGATTGTCTGAGAAAAGTCGGTTTTACTTACTGCTTTGACTCAAGTTGACCCAGACACACAGCAACAGCAGCAGCGCAGATGACGTCAGGACGAGTCTGTTCATCATGGGAGGGGAAACAAGCCACTTATGGGTGAAAAAGAAAAATGAAATTGATCAAAAGTATTCAACAAGTTAATGACAGCTGTGCAGACAAAAGCAGCAGTGTTGAGGATGGTGATGATGAAGATGTAGAGCTCTCAGTCCACGTTATCTGGCATCCCCAAAAGCTACATTATATAGCTGTTCATGAGGGGAATTTGTGGACCACACAGCAGCGTCACTGAGGGGTGGAAGACAGGGGGAAAATCAGGGTGTCTTGAGTTAAATATTAGTAGGTCAGCTAAATTTGAGTACTAAAATGGGATATTCCATTCCTCTCACTATCATGGGTACTGTAATTAGAAAATCGATCCCAATTTGTGATACGATCACAAGTGTGTAATCACCGAAATTACTGGCTTAGACACAAAACATTATTTAAGATATATGTAAAAACACAAAAACAAATAAAAAACAACCAACAAACAATTGCCTAATTTTAATACTGAAAAATGGGAATAGATTATCTTTAAATCATAAAAAAGTTAGTTACGGTTAAAAAAGTGTACCTGGGTAAACATGTAGATGAACCTTTTTCCTCAACATGAGATTTTATGTTAAACTGTACAGTATTAATGTACAGTATAAGATGAGCTGTATATTTTAGGTGTCATGACTGGTCTTCATTAAAAAAAAAATGAACAATTTAAAAAAAAAACTGAGGAGATCTTAGAACAATAATGAAGAACAATGTACCCACATAATGTATAAATGTTTATTTATTGCAAGAAAAAAATGGGGGCAAACAAAAACTTAAATAGGTCAACATTTTACATATACTGTATATATATATATATATATGTGTGTGTGTGTGTGTGTGTGTGAGGGAAATATAGGGTCAATTTTTTTAAATTGAGATTTATACACCATCTCAAAGCTACATAAATAAGCTTTCCATTGATGTATGGTTTGTTATGATAGGGCATTATTTGGTCGAGGTACAACTATTTGAAAATCTGGAATCTGAGGGTGCAAAAAAATCAAAATATTGAGAAAATCGCCTTTAAAGTTGTCCAAATGAAGTTCTTAGCAATGCATATTACTAATCAAAAATTAAGTTTTTATATATTTACAGTAGGAAATTGACAAAATATCTTTATGGAACATGATCTTTACTTAATGTCCTAATGATTTTTGGCATAAAAGAAAAATCTATAATTTTGACCCATACAATGTATTTTTGGCTATTGCTACAAATATACCCGTGCTACTTAAGACTGGTTTTGTGGTCCAGGGTCACACATTTATATACATACACACCCACACAAATAAAAGTCTTGTCCATAAAAGAGCAGATAGTTTTAACTTTGTATTGTGTGAATACAAAATTTGAATTCCAAATTGTCCAAATTCGTTTCCAATTTTATTCTAGACAAAGTCATGCAAATGTTCATTAAACATTCAATAGTAAGCACAGCTAAGACTCAGATACCGTAGCTTAATTTTTCATAAACTATTTTCTATTTCAAGTGAGCATTTTTGCAATTTTTCCAAGATGAATATGTGATAGAGATGTCTGTGATGGCACATGAGTTACTTGAGTTAAATATAATTTCTACGCATCTACTTTCAAGACAAATAATTTAAATAAAATGAACATCTAGTCAAACATTTAGACTAACATTCAGCAGTCAAAGGCATCCGCCTTTCCTGGAAATCGAACACTCATCAGATTCTCTTATCACAGCTTCAGATCAGATCAGATGGCAGTCTTTGATGTAAAAAAAAACACAAAAAAAAACAATATTATAATCAACCTGATATGATTTAAACCTTACTCTAATTCTAATCCAGACACTCCTCCGTTTTAAAAGATCATAAGTCTGTTTCATAGAAATTAAACTCAAAATGTCAAGCAGCATGACACCTCTCTAAACCTGGAGGTGTAAATGAAAGAATCTGAAAATGTTTTAGTAAAACCAACACAGAGAGAAATGCTATAAAATTGGTGTCTAAAGTCAAGCAGGAAGACTAAAGCGAAGGCTGTGGGTTTGAAGGGAAGTGATTCATTGCTAAAGGAGCCACTGTTAGGCTTTGTTCTCACTCTTATGACCTATTTCACCATTTGATTTTAGGACATGAGTTACATAAAACATTATGACCTAGAAAATATATGTAATTCTACACACCCACAAGAAACCACACGTTAGCATGTGGAAATGAGGACACCGCTGAGCATGTGGGTAGTTCAGATCTATCCATTTGTGTGCGTGTGTGTGGTTTTATCTATCAAAAATGTTACAGAATCATAAAACACAATATAATCATAATTCAATAATGCATTCATTCTATAATCAAAAGGTTAAGGTTTGAGTTCTTGTCCTGGTGGACATTCCCAGTTCCTGGTTTCAAAAGTCCCATGCCAAATGCACCATGTCACTTTTTAGCAAATAATTATCTGATCTGGCAATTCCAAGTGGTTTTACAGTATGTAAAATATTCCATGTGTCGAAGTGAATTTAAGAACAAATTCAAATGTTGTTCAATCTCACTTTAAATAGTAAAAGTTTTTTTATGCAACGGTAATTTTAAAGGTTCACCCAAAAATAAAAATTCCTGAAAACGTACTCATCCTCAGGCCATCAAAGACTTAGATGAGTTTATTTCTTCATCAGAACAGATTTGGAGGAATTTAGCATTTAGCATCTGTTCTGATGAAGAAATAAACTCTACATCTAGAATGGCCTGAGGATGAGTACATTTTTAGCAAAATTTCATTTTTGTGTTAATTATTCTTTTAATAAATTAATTAACTATTCTTATAATAACTAATAATTGTTTTTCATTAAAAAAAGTCATTAAAAATGATTGAAAAGTGCAAAGATAAGTTCACTGCAAGTTGTAACTGCCATAACATTTTATTTCAGCAAAGTTGTTCATTTTAGTGTGGGTCAAAATTATTTTAAAAGCAGATAAGCAAACAGTTAAAATATTATATTACTTAAAACTTTAAAAACGTGAAACTTAAAGGATAAGTTCAATTCCAGAATGAAAATTCTGTTATCAATTACTCACCCTCCACTTGTTCCAAACCTGTATGAGTTTCTTTCTTCTGTTGACCATTGACTTCCATAGTAGGGGGAAAAATACTATGGAAGTCAACGGTGCCCATTAACTGTTCGGATACCAACATTTTTCAAAATATCATCTTTTGTGTTCAACAGAAGAAAGAAACTCATACAGGTTAGTAAATGATAACAGAATTTTCATTCTGGAAGTGAACTTATCCTTTAAAATATTGTATTACATTATATATTCCTAATGTGCTGCTCACAGTACACTGCGTGTGTACAGTAAGCTTATTTGTAAAGAATAAAATCGGAATGCGTTTGCCTCCAAAAATTGAGCATGGAGATATTTGTTAGTTTATTTGCCAGATATTCACCAACAAATAACATTTCAACTCAGTTATTGTCACTACAGCAATTTTCAATCAATTTTAAACACCCATAACGTTTTAGTGTTCCTGTAGCTCAAAGAGTAGGGTTTCCCAGGCAAAGCATGAACTGATCAAATGTATACGCAGAATGCAATATAACTCACATTGAATAAAAGCATCTGCCAAATGCATAAATGTAAAGTTAAAACACTTAACACAAAACAACATACAGAATATACTATAAGACAATATAATATAATATAATATAATATAATATAATCAACAGTAATGACAATACAGTCATTAAACTATGTCACACACCCTTTGGTGTTTTCATTCATCTAATTTAATATTACAGCATAAAGCTATTTATGTCATAGCATTCTTTAGCAAATTTTTGGTTCTGAATTTTTCCTTTGTTCTAATGACCTTCAATTTGTACTTAAGGCCTCCTGGAGTTTCCAACATTGTTTCTATTAATTTACCAGTCGGAAACAATTCAAATATGTTGATGGTTCACTCTCTCTTTCAGGGAAGTAAACATTAAAACTCTGTGCTTTCCCTCAAGCTGATTTTTCCTCTGTATCCTTCTTTGTTGCACCTGTTTGACTGACAGGTCAGATAAGATCTCACTGTGGCTAAATTTGTTTGGTTTGTACACATGTACTTCTGTTTACGTATGCACGGAAAACCCTGACTCGGGTGTTTCCATGTCCACCCTATAAAAAAGCTAGAGTCTCATTGCACGCTCTCACAATTGGCACATTTCTTTTCTGACTCTGAGAATCTCACACACACAGACACAGAGATGATGACTCGAATTTCAGCTACCGTGATCGTACTTATGGTTGCAGCTCTTAGTGTACTACGTACAGATGCCTCTGCTTTGTGTAAGTACATTTCTTTATTTCTTTCCATAACTGTTTTGATAATAAAGCTATTTATGAATTTTTAGTTTTCTTTCCATTACTGTAATAAGTGTTTTGTTTCTCAGAGACACTGTTATGTGGAAAATGTTTTTAAAATCTGAGGTTCATAATGTGAAGATATTTTTGTAATGTCTAAATAAAGTTACAAAAAAACCTAAACTTTAATTGTGCTTACAGCATGTTGCAGGAAGTATACCAAAGGAATAATATCAATGACATTTATCAAAGGATATTCCATTCAGACCATGACAAGAAACTGCCACATTGATGCTGTCATGTAAGAATAAGATGCCTTCTACATATATGGTGCATTATGTATTGATTGACTATATGTGTTATGACTGATACCTGGAGAAAAAAAAACTAACCAAAACTTACCTCACAGATTCCACACATACAGAGGCAAGAACATTTGCACAGACCCCACCAAAGCCTGGGTGATGGAAAATATCCGTAAGCTGAGGTAAGCTTGCAGATATGTGATTGCTGTGGATAAATAAACACAAATGAACACAGATGAACTGAACAGCCTTGAAATGACAGCTAATTACTCTGTTATCTCTTTTCTGTTCTTTAGGGAGAAAGTGCAAGTAATTAGCAGAAAACATTCAAGGGTCTAATTGTACAATTACTGTGCCTAAACAGATGTTACTACAAGAATAATTCTTCATGGAGGAGGATCTATTTCTTTATGAAATTTGCATATTTAATCTGCATATTTGTATATGCATGTTATATTTTATAGTTTGTTTGTTTGCTTTTTTAATTCAATGCATTAAAATTAATTTTCTATGTAAAGAGAAAACTTGCCTTTTGTATTGAAATGATGTTCGTATACCTCAAACTTAATTCAATGAAATTTTAAAAAAAATTGAATAATAATAATAGTGTATATATATATATAAAACTGAAAATTAATGTAATTAAATGTAACAAACTTGCATATAATAATTATTCATAATTCACAATTTCACACACACGCACACACATACATAGCATATATATCTGAACAATAATACAAATAATTAAAAAAGAAGAATCATTATAGAATTATAGAATATGTATTTATATACAAATACGATGGGTTTCAAAACAATATCAGTAAAATAACTGCACATTAGAAGATGTAGAGCACAGCTTTAATTTGAGTTAAAGTTGTGCTTAATGATTAACTAGATTTACCGTGTGATACACATAAAGTGCATAGACTGAAAGAACAGAGACATTTTCTGTGATAGAATAAAATGAGGTGAGATGAATAATTTGCTGTGATTGGTCAGAGAAAGAGCTAGAGTTCATAAGATGCCAGAAAGGCTTTAGGACAGAAATACCCCATAGGCTACTTGCTTCAGCTCTGGGAAATTACCTTGATGATGTCACCTATGAGGGAGGACTGGAATGCAGAATAACTTCTCTCTGGTTTAAATTAACATACCTTGAAAGACATCTGTCAAATTAATACTCACTGACACATGCATTGTTCTTCTCATGTGTGTCGAGCTTCACCCAATAATTACCATCTGCAGAGCCATCCTGTGCGTCACAGCGGTGTCAGGCCAGGCCAGCGCTCTCAGGCCGGAGGGTAGGGAAGAATACAGCCTTATTAAGAAGAGGTCAAGTGCTGGGTTTTTGTTAGGCATTCGTTATGGTGGAGTTTATAGTTGTAGTGAAGTAAAAAAGATGAAATACCCCTAAGATCCACATGGTGTCGCCCTCCTCTATATTTCATTGACCTAAACCAGCGACTGTAGCCTCATCTTTGCATACGAGAGATCAATAACAACAACAAGAACAACAAATCTATAATAAACACAGTTGTTACTTTAATATACTCTCTCTATAACGGAAAAATGTTAATCAGGTCTTTCTTACTTACTTTCTCAATATGAATGGCTCCTGAGGAGAAACTAACAAATAGATGCATATACTAATAGCACACTTGAATAAACTTCTTTTTCGTAAGGGGTGCTCAAAATGATAGCCTAAATAAACAGATAAACGGAAAAGAAGATCTGATTATGAGGGGAAAGTCTAGCAAATTTTGCCTACTGTAAAAAAAAAAAAAAAAGAAAGAACGAGGAAGAAAGACATAATTCCCTGCAAATTGACCGGACCCGAGTAAATCATACTGTTTATGTTTAGAAACAACAACAGGCGCAGCCAAAATATAAATGTTAGCCTTAAAGGGATAGTTCACCCACAAATAAAAATGTTGTCATCATTTATACTCACCCTCGTGATGATCTAAACCCTTATGCTTGTATTTCTTCTGTGGAACATAAACGAAGAAAACTGGAAGATTACACTGAATGGCTACTGAAGCTTTCAAATTTACAAATGAACACAAAAGTATCATTTTTTAATCCCTTTCAGAAGGAGAAGACGCAACACTCACTCTGTATGGTAAGACAGTTTAATATAGTATTAAAAACATCTTGACGTTGTATTCTGATGTCTGATGTAGGACTTGCAAACAGCCGAAGCATTTCAATTATTTTAATGGAATAATTTTCCGAATACAGAACTACAAAAAACTACAAAATTCTTTTAATTCCCCACTTTTTCATAAGTATCTCTTTGGCATTTCAGAGCAATGAACACAGTAAAGTTGAAGAACACATTATTTACTCTTTTTTGGGACCACTCTCTATTTTACAGCATCCCCCAAATGAATTTTTGGCTGCTTCTAGGGACAATTTTTAAGCCATTTTGTCCCCAAAATTACAACCACACACTTCCTGCAGCTGAGTGGTTTAATTACCAGCCATGCTCTCCAGTCAAGCCATGCCTGGCAATGACATCATTGCCTCGGTCCTCTCTGCACTGCTGCACACACAGAGGACTTCCTGCTGAATAATGGAGAAATACACATTCCTAAACACCCACACACACAAACAGGAACTCGGCAACAAAACAGCTCCACTGCCCAGCTCTAATCTTTCCTTTTATGCAATCACACGCTGAACGGCAAACTTCCCCCGGCACATGAACTCATACACGTATGAATGTCTAATTGCTGTTCATATTAGCCAAAACTCTTTAGATAATGAGCTAAGATCACAATTTCAGAGTTTCAGTGTTGAAATCATGGGTCACGCACTGTGACTAAAGCATATTGCTTTTTTTTTTTTTTTTAAAAAGGGATAGGCCTAAGGAATGCAATGTGTCCTGCCTTCCTGAAATAAATAAAGAAAACTGCCCTCGTCAAGCTATTTAATGGGGCCTTTAAAGAATACACTAGCACTGAGAATAACTCAGACAGACAGTGTCGTTCTGCATTATGTTTGATTATTTCATCTACAGCTCCAGGCTAGGAGGTTTGATCCCAGAGCTGTGGATCTGACGACCACTGTAGCCGTGTTCTCACAAACCTGTGCAAGAAACTGACTCTTGTAGGGCTCGAAAAGAACCGTAAAATCCTAATAGCTGAGTTTATTGAGCTGACTCATGACAAGAGTTATTACAACATAGGTGTCGATACAACTTTATCTTCACAGCATTGTGAATTTCATTGTGCTCTGTGGGTTATAAACGAATAAAATTACAAAACCAAACCGGAGCAATAATTCTCAGGGAATTTCTTGTGTTCACTCAGCTTATTTTAAGAATGGGCCACTTTGCTCTCATAGATTTACACAAAGGGAATATTGCTGCTCATCCTAAAAGGTCAGCCAATCATTGCCCTCAATTTTTAGGGGTAAGGTTCAGATTGGGGCCTAAAACAAACATTATTTTCAACCAATACCATAGTACGTACAGTAATCATTAAGTTCGCATAATGTGGTATTTGCATGGTACTTAAATACAATACATTAACACTACTATGATAAATGTCTAAAAATCCATGAGAGTATCATATCCAAAACATGATAGTACCATATTTTACATTTAATATAAGGGTTTATTTAAGATGACGAATAACAACCATTATAACCATTATATTTTCCTCAATAAGGAAAAAAACTACATCTACAAAGAGATTTTTTGCAGAACCATGGGCAATGTCCTTTTTTACCGGGAATTCTGGAGTTAAACATGATTATTTTAAGAATAAGTTGAATTAATGTGGGCCGTTGGCTTCAACAAAATCATATATCACCGATTAATAATATCAGTGCTCAAAGTATGTTTTTTGAAAGTTTAAGTTATCATTAAAAATCAGTTCCCCTATGGAGAAAATGTATGGGATTTCCACTTCCAGATCCCGCCCGTTGCATTCCATTGGACTGACATTGTCACCTGATTAATATTCATGAGCCAAGCTGATAAGGTTTAGAATGCATTAACCTCACCCACTTTTCAGAGTTAGATGTATGCTTGGTTGATAATATGGTTCTTGGTGTTGACAGAAATGTTGTACTTTGGTAAAATCATATTTCGCATGCTGCTCCATGCTGTCAGTCGTGTTTAAGCACTGGTTTTAAAAAGAGAATCTTCTCCATAACAAGACGAGACAACAAACACTGAAAATCAGGACAGAGACGCAATGCACCACTGAGATTTTATTATTCAGACATTTTATTCAGCTCATGTTCCACTGAGAACATGGAGGAATGAAAGGTAGTCAAAGAAAGAGACAGAAGGAGGCAGAAAGACAGACGGGATTAGACAATGACTGTGTCGTTGTGTTTCGGTATCTGGAGATTTTAAAACCGAAGCTTCTTTCTTTGATGTCTTCGATGGAGACGCATATATACGCTACATGTCGCATGTACATAAACTAACAAGTTGCACAAACACAAACTCACACCACATACTCTTGCAGGCGCACACCAAACAGACACACAGCTGACAGAGAGGACAGTATTCAGCAGCAAGTGCCATTTTAGGCTCATTTCAGGCTGCAGTGAACACAGTATGTAATTTGAGAGACAAAACAGCCAAATGAGAAGAACATCTAAATGATTATACATTCATCCTCCATTTCCTTCTATCCGCTCCACACACACACACACACACACACACAACCACCAATTAGATGCAGGAGGAAGCAGTCAGTGCGGCTACTTCTATTTGCGTCTTCCTTGAAGAACTCCAGATCCGTGAGGATGAGAGCAGGAGAAGAAAGGAAAAGAAAAGCTGATCTCTGCTGTACTGGCGTAGAGTGTGATGTATGCTGGCATGACAGGCTGGAATCTGGGCCATAGTTACATTCATTGTTCAGAGAGCTGTTACACAATTAACCCACCGACAGCAATGAATGTTGATTATGACCTTTGAAGAAATGAAGTCATCTATATAGGTGGGCGTGTCTGGGCTGAAGAGGGCGTGGCCTCAGGGCCCACTCAACGGTCGATGGTTTTTCAATGTCAAAAACTCACCGACAGCGTTGAATGTTCAACAAGACCAGCAAGAGGGCTTCTGTATCCTCAGAACCTTCAAGAAGAACCTTCACCATGCTGAGCCGAGTGTCTGCTAGAAGATAGAATGAGAATATGAGCAAGGAATTCAAAATAAGAAAAACTATAATATAATAAAATAAAATGTTCAAAAGTTTGGGAACAGTAACATTTTTTAAAGAAATTAATATTTGTATTTAGCTAAGGATGCAAAAGTTTAAAAGTGACAGTGACATTTATAATGTAGCAAAAGATTTCTGTTTCAAATAAACGCTGTTCTTTCACACTTATTCATCAAAGAATCCTGGGGGAAAAGTATCACAGTTTCTACAAAAATATTACGCTGTACAACTTGTTAACATTGATAATAAGAATTGTTATTTGAGCCA